TAAGGGAACCACAGCTGTGAGCCCTGAGAAGGGGCACAAGGTGGTGCCAGGAGGTTGGCCCCAGGTCACACCACAGGCCCCTCAGGAGCGAGCCCAGGGTGCCCTCTAGTGTCCAGGCCCGGACACACCATTGAGTGACATGGGGACCAGAACACATGAGAGGCCACCTCTGCCTTCCCACTGCTCTGCCCACTGCCCCTGCCCTAGGGCCAGGCCAGGGTCCCCTCTATGGCCTCCCCTCACCTCGGGGCACCTTCAGTCTCTACTCGTCGTCCTCAGGGGGAGTCTGACCACAGCTCCTGGGCTGGTCAGTGGTCAGGACTGAGGTGGGGTCTCTGACATAAACTCTACACCAGTGTCAGGTCCAGAGCAGTGACCAACCCCATGGAGGCGTGTCCCCTTCTGTGCGGGACGCGGGTTCTTTCCTCTCTGGTGGCTGGAGGTCTCCTTCCTATGCCTTCCCAGCCGAACTGAGGAGCATGGGGCCCTTCCCTAGGTTTGGGGAGGTGGCGGAGAGAAAGCCCTCATGTGCCTTCATAGTGGGCGATGCTGGGTAAAACTTGATCACCTGGAGATATTTCTACCTGCATGAAACCATCGTTCTCCACGAACCGTGGGCTGTGGTTCACTCCTAGGATCTGTTCTCAACTCACAGTCAGACGTGGGCTTTTATATGAGAGAGGAAAACAGGAAATGCAGAAAATTCTAGGCAGAAATTTTAAATTTCTGTGCTAAAGGTTTATATTAAACCTTTATATGTTAGTCACCACTCACCCAACTTAAAATGCATGTATGTTATTATATGTGAAAGTCACAATAAGGCTGATTTTCAAATTCTGGGATTATGCATATTGGTGGAAATTGTAGGCGGAGGAATTGATGGAAAAGCATTGGTAACGGAACGCCTTTTGCTCTGGGTTGAAAGGTGTGAATAGACGTTTTCTAACATCACTTTACATTTCAGTCGTGAGTTGGGTACTGTGCCCTGTGGTCTGGTCCTTATGGTTGGAAATCCCGAGTCGCAGCCCAGTGACCCCCACGAGGAGTTTCTAGGAGCTTCCATCTGTCCCAGGAACAGAAGCACCTGCCGCAAGCAGAGCTCCCAGGACACAGCGGTGTCGGCTCCAGGCCTGTCTCTGGGCGGCACAGCCACAGTCGCTGCCCCTGGCGTCCAGCATCCGCAGGACAGGACGTGTCCCCTCAGCCCCCCAGTAGCCCTCTGGTTCTGTCCCGGGAAAACCCTAACTCATACACTGCCTTTCCCGCTGGCCTTTGCACTGGCCTGTTCTGCGGAACAGTCTCTGCTAAGGGGAAGCAAAGGGAAGCCTGTGCTCTGTGTCCTACAAAGTCCCTGAGGGGTCACAGTCACAGGAAGCGAAGGAGCAGGAATACCACATCCCGCCATGCATCGCTGCCCCTTCTCAATGCCCCATCGGCCAGGCCCCCTGCACCCCGTCTGTCCCCGGGGAGACCCCCACTCTACCCAGGAAAAGTCAGGGCAGATCTGGAAGTGAATGGCGGTTTTCCGAGAAAGGCCTTCAACTTTCCATCCTGGATTCACAGACGCGGGTTCCCTTGACCAGCCTTGGGAATGCAGGCAGGAACCCCGAGACCAGTTCTGAGCCACTGGGTCGAAATCCTTACTCAGCAAGATGCAGGTCACAGAGTCCTACACCGGAGTGAGGCGAAATCACACACATGTCACCCCAGATGCACACTGCAGGCTCCGCACCCAGGGGCACCCGTCTCGGGCCTCCTGCACCCACACACTGTCCCTCGGCCCTCGGGGCAGCGTCTCCCCACCTGGTCTGTGTCTCTCCTGACACTAAAGCTGCAGCCCTTGTCTCACCTCGATGTGGTTCCTGTAACTTCGCCTCTGCTTCCCCCGCGGCCCCTTCCCCGGGTGCCGGCAGGTCACGTGGAGCCAGAGGGTTACTCCAGGACCATAGTTTCATTTATAGCTTTTCTTACAGCTTCCACGTCCCCGCTGAAATGTTCTACCTCATTCTTCATTGAAAGTGTGTTTTACCTGAAGACCTTGCCGTTAGTCTTTATTCAGTTTGGGGGGAACTGTTATCGTAACTACACTGAGTATGTTGAACCACAAAGTGGGATGTCTACTTAAGTTTAATGTTCTTGCCCAGGCCAGTGTTTCTCAATGGTTAGAGCATTAGCCCAAGCTCTCAAGGGTCGCCGGTTTGATTCCCGGTCAAGGGCATGTACCAGTGTTGTAGGCTCAATCCCTGGCCTGGTTGGGGTGCATGCGGAAGGCAACCAATAACCAATAGATGTTTCTCTCTCTCTCTCTCTCCTTTTTTCTCTCTCTCTCCCTCTTTCTCTCTCCCCCTCCCTCCCACCATTACAATTACACTCTCTCTGGAAACCAATGGAAAAAATATTCTTGGGTGAGAGTTAACAAACAAAAAATAGTTTAATTTCCTTGTCATGTTTTACACTTTTCATTATATAAGACTCCCTCCCCCACTCCCAGACTTTATGTTGTTACAAATCACACTGTAACAAAACAAGCAGGTTCTCCTTCTGGTCACAACAAAAGCCGAACTCAGGAGACAGGTGATAGTGCAAAAGGAAAGTGGCTTATTCAGGTGATGTGCAACCTGGGAGGATGGCAGGCTCCTGTCTCAAAAATCACCTCCACTTCCTGCTCAAGCCTGCCGTTCATCTATATATATAAAAGCCCAAGCGATCGGCCTACTGGTAGCTGTGACACGCACAGACCACCAGGGGGCAGACGCTCAACACAGGAGCTGCCAAGCTACAGTGACTTGGTAGCTGCGGTTCTGGGGTTATGCAGCTGGAACCAGAGAGGAGGGAGCCTGATTCCGGGGTGTGTCACCCGAGAACTGCCCCCTCACAATATGGGCCCCACCGGGGATGTCGGAGAGCCAGTTTCAGCCCAATCCCCACAGCCCCCTCACAATATGGGCCCCCCCGGGGGATGTCGGAGAGCCAGTTTCAGCCCAATTCACACAGGCCAGGCCGAGAGACCTGGATTCGTGCACTGGGCCTCTAGTATAGTGATAAGGAGGGGAAGTTGTGTGTTTTTTTGCTATCCAATTATCTTGCTTGCTTTCAGTGCACTGGGGGATGTCCATTCATGTTTCTAGCTTTTGGCATGCTCAGTGTAAGAACCTCCCCCGGAGCCATCTTGGCCAATGTGGGAGACTCCCTGGTGCTCCCTGTCTATGGTTGTGGGGAGGAGAGGGCTTCAGGAACCACATCCAGAAGCCTGGAGATGCCACATGCCTCATCCCACCTCTAGACCCGGGACACGGCGCCTGCATAACCGCGGAGCCAGTTGGAGTCCATGGGGCACTCCTGGTGCTTCATTGAGTCTGAGTAGTAGGACAGAGGGTACCGGGGAGGGCTCCCTGGCTTCTGCCTCGTGGAGGGAGAGAACTCTGTCCACTTTCATCCCACAGGCACACGTGCCACAGCGGTGGGGTCCTCGGGTTCCGGAAGCACAGGGCACGCAGCGGGCACACAGCCCCCTTCTTCCTGCAACTCCCACCACAGCCACGATCCGGAGTGGCGCCTGGTCCGGGCGTTTCCCTGGGGGTCATCAAGCTCACTGTCATTTCAAGAGAAAATGGGCAGCTCCGCAGGCTCTGGTGTGATCACAGATGGATGAACAGGCAACATTTCAGCGTCGTCACAATTTTTGTTGTTGTTGTTGTATTTCTGTTTCATTTGTCCTTAGGCTTCAGAAACGGCCATGGAGAAATGGGAGTGGGCCCATCATACGCAAACCATGCGTGGGTTAATAGAGTGTGCACACGTGCGAGCTACTGTTAAATGTTTACGTGGTCACGAGACAAGCAGGCTGCGGTTTTTGTCCCACTTCCCCATCTGGGTGGGTCACCGTGGGAAGCGCCACCGTGGGAGATCAGACAGTAATAGTCGGCCTCGTCCTCGGGCTGCAGCCCCGAGATGAGCAGGAGCCCCGCATTGGCCGAGGCATCCTTGGACCCAGAGAAGCGGCTGGGGACCCCGGAGCCCAAACTTGGACTTGAGGAGTAAGACAGGAGGTACCGGGGAGCGCTCCCTGGCTCCTGCTGGAACCAGAATATGGTTTTATTAACAGCACTGATGTCACTTTTCAAGGTGCAGGTGAGTCTGGCTGTGGCTCCCAGAGATGCAGAGAGGGAGGGCGGCTGAGTCAGCACAGGCTGGGAGAGGGACCCTGCGGACACAGACACATGGGGGTGAGAAGAAGGGTTGGGGGGGCAGGTGCTCTGGGTCCCCGAGGCCTGTCCCTACCTCTGCAGTGAGCGAGGAGCATGAGGAGCACAGGGGTCCAGGCCATGGTGAGCGCAGCCCGTTCCCAGGACACAGAGCTGGGGCTGGTCTTCCCAGACCTCTCTTATCCCCTCCCAGCTGGTCTCCCAGAGGAGGGGCTTCTAATGCAAATGTGCCCCAGGCCCCACCCCTCTGTCAGAGGAGGGGCTTCTCATGCAAATATGCCTCAGGCCCCTCCCCTCTGTCAGAGGAGGGGCTTCTCATGCAAATATGCCCCAGGCCCTGCCCCTCTGTCAGAGGAGGTGCTTCTCATGCAAATGTCCCCCCAGGCCCCGCCCCTCTCCCAGGTGCACTGCCATTTATGACACAGGAACAGCCTGGCCTGTGTCTTCCTGCCGAGACGCGAGTGCCCACAGCGTATCTCCCAACCTGAACGTACAAGGAGGGTGGAGGTCAGAGTGAGGAACATAAGAGATAGTGGGTCACATGTCCATCCTTTTCTGGTCCTACTTGGACCCCACATCTCCCAGCAATGGGGTGACATTGTGACTAAGCCCAGTTCCCACTGGGCAGGCCCTGTTACCTAAACCAGCTGACAATCCCCTTCCTTCGACAATGATGGTGGGGGGGAGCCGGTGTGAGTTATGGGGTCCAGTCACCTTGACAGCAGGGGCTCCTGGTCAATGGGTCAGGAAAGAGCCTCTCTTCCTGGGGGTTTGTTGTGTATGTGCGGTGCCTGCGACTGCAGAGACATGTGGTTCTTATGTAGAAAGCCAGCGTGTACGGCCTGGCATCTCGCCCGGGACCCACTTGGCCCACTTCCTCTAGAGCAGGCTCAGCATTTCCCCAGCAACTGGGGAGCATCCCCCACCATCCCGTGGCCCCAGAAGGGATTTCCCGGGCTCAGGCCCCCCTTTTCCCCTTAGAGAAACCCCCTCTCCCTGACGGCACTACTGGACACTCAGGTGCCCGGCGAGGTTACAGGTGAGCTCTGGTCCGGGAGGTCATCCATCCGGGGCCCAGTCTTCACTCAGCATCTCCCATCGGGGTTGCTTGGCTCTGCAGCGCAGAGCTCCCTGGAAGCCGGGCTCAGGTGCAGTTAGCAAAGGACTCCAGCAAATGAATGGAATCAAGGGAGAGACCAGGAGAACCTTCAATTTACAGCGAAACTAGCAAGAAACCTGGGACCTCCCACCTGTGAGTGGCACCTGACCTGCGGGCAGTCAGGGGGACTGGCCCTTTAACTGTGGGTCTGACACCGTCTCTGGGCAGATGGTGTGAGGACTGAGTGCTGCTGCGGGACATCAGCTGGTGTCAGAGAACTGCTGTCGGGAAGAGAAATCCTCACACATTGGGGACCAGAGAGGTCAGGAGTGAAGGGCTCTGGGTGAGGAGCAAACAAGACACAAGAGGAGGAAGGAGCTGAGATTCTGACTCAGAAATGGTCCTTCTTGTTAGAATTTCCCAGACACGGGGGGTGGGGTGGGCTCTATGACCACCCTCGTGTGCCCCTGGGATGCCTGTGCTGCTGCCACATCGTGTGTGACCTCCCTCCTCCCAGGGACACAGGTCCCTGCAGAGGAGCCCAATGACAGAGGCCCCCACGGACGCTCCTCGCTGAAGGGAGGCTCAGAGCCACCACCTAAGGGCACAGGGGGTTTTGTCTCACTTCCTCGTCATCTGAGACACTGTGTGTGACTAAAGCTGCTCCCACTGCCATGATCTGCATTGCAATAATAGTCAGCCTCGTCCTCAGGCTGCAGCTCCGAGATGAGCAGAAACCCCACGTTGGCCGACGTGTCTTTGGATCCAGAGAAGCGTCTGGGGACCCCAGAAACGTGGTACTTATCTGAGTCCGACTTATATCTCAGGAGAAATCTGGGAGGGCTCCCTGGCTTCTGCTGGAACCAGCGTATATGGTAGTCGGCAAAATTGGAGCCACTGCTCAGGGTGCAGGTGAGTATGGCTGTGGCTCCCGGAGATGCAGAGAGGGAGGGCGGCTGAGTCAGCACAGGCTGAGAGAGGGATCCTGCAGACACAGACACTCATGGGTGAAGGGACAGGGACCCAAGTAAATATTCTCAGAATTATTGACAACAGTAGAGTGGGTTTGGGGCCCAGTGTCTCCCAGGCCTGTCCCTACCTGTGCAGTGAGAGAGGAGCGTGAGGAGCAGAGGAGTCCAGGCCATGGTGCTCACAGCCCTGAGCCCACAGTGGGGCTGGGCTGCCCAGGCCTCCTTTTCTCCCCACCCTCTGCCAGAGGAGGGGCTGCCATGCAAATGGGAGCCCCTCCAGGGACTGCCCAGCCCCTCCCTGGGCCCTGGGGCTGGAGCTCAGCTCACACCCAAGACTGAGGGGCATGGAGGTGGGCTCACCCCTTGGGGGCCCTGGGAGGAAGCACCTGCTGAGACAGCACATCACTGAGCACAGGGCCCAGACACAGGCCCAGGCTCCTATTAGTTCAGGTCCTTAAATTGCAGCTGCATTGGGACCACAGGACGGTCCCACAGCCCCCCCTGTTGGTGGCAGCACACACCTGCCCTTGGCCCAAAGCCCTGAGGGCACAGCTGCACCTGCAGCTCAGAGGGGACTGTCTCTGGCCACACATCCTGGCCTGGTCCCAGGTCCTGTGACTCTGATGCACTGGAGCCTCCCTGCAGCGCCTCACTCCCAGGAGGAGTCCCGTCTGTGGGAGGAGCCATCATGGACACA